GGCTACTTAATAATGGTTATAACCCTCTCAACTCTATAACCCTGAAACACGAACCTTGATAAACAAGGCCGCTGCGCGGAGAAACAAGTTGAGCGCGGTAAAACCAGGGACATGGTGGGGATCGAACTCGGAACCTCTCGCTTATGAAGCGAGTGTTTTACCAATACACCTCTACCGCATGTATACATACATATATACATATATGTATACATATATATACATATACATATATATATATATATATATATATATATATATATATATATATATATATATATATATATATATATATATATATATATATATATATCAAAGCCTACCCCAGACGTAATCCTATACCATTATAAACATACACACACATATGCGTACACATATATATATATATATACATAGGCATACAGAAATACACATACACACCTACATACACTCACATACATATACATACAGATATACAGTTTTAAAAATATAAACAACTTTAAAAAATTTTTTTAAACTAACTTAATTTAAAGTTTTTATTAAAAAGAAAACTGCCTGAGCTTAAAAGTGAAATCGCCATTTTGTATATAAAATGCGTGCTGCATAATGCTTCATAAATAGGCCTGAATTTATATTCACCAGAGTGTTGGGGATTGGTTAGAAACCCCCTAACTTTTTTGAAGGAAGCTTTGTTTTTTTGTGAACAGTACCACCCAAACTATATACACGGAAAAAACACACAAAAAATAACAGTTCTATTTGTGTTAATAAGCTAACTAATAATAATTTTAAAAGTACACAACCCAGAGGTAATCCACTGCATTAGGGTGGTAGCCCTTCTACTTAAAAGATCACATTCAATAAAATGGATCCGTTGGTAGAATCTATCTGGCCATTATTTGACGGAAGATGGATTGATGGAACAAAAAATCTATATAATTGGCTTCTCATAACTGCAAAATCACTTGTTAGCTTGCAAAGTAGAGTTTCTACACTTGAAGAAACAGTTAGACTGAAAGACGATGAAATAAATGATTTGAAAAATAAACTTCCAAGTAATCAACTAATAAATGCTCTCAGCTCTGCAGATATCTGGTCAAGTTTTTAAAATCCTGGAAAAGCCTCTAAACAAAATGGTGCAGCACTAATTGCTACTATCCAGAAAGAAAAAAAAGAGTTGAAAACAATGTTTTAATCAGAGGAGTACCAGAAGACACACTGGAAAGTAGTTCAAACACTCAAATAGTTGATCAAATTCTAAATGCACTAAAGTTAAGAACAGAAGATGTTAAGAAACAAGTTAGGTTAAAAAAAAGAAAGATTATGATGAACAGTGATGGTTTAAACCCAGAAATGTATAAAGACACAACAACACCAGGAAATCGAATGAATAAATCCCTAAGCCAAGTTGATAAAAGTCCTCCCACCCCGCTAATACTCTTAGAATTTAAGGATCATGCCACATAACAAATAGCCATCCTTAACGCTAAAGAATTGAAACATTTTGAAGCTTTACAAAATATATACATAATGCCAGGCAGAACTGAAAATGTAAAATTTATTGAAACCAAACTTAAAATTGAAAGAAACATTAACCTGCCAAATAAAGTAGAAGGATCAAATGGGAGGTTTAAATGGGGAACAAAGTATGGAAAGAAAGGTTATTGGGACATACACTTTGGCACACTTAGATGGATTGAGCTCACACAAAAAGGAAAGTCAGTAACTCTAAGGACACGCGTTAAAAGTTGCTTTAAAAAAATTAAGGAAAAAAGTTTTATATCTTCTTTAAAGTGTTTTTATTTCAATGCAACATCTATATGCAATAAATGAGAAAAGTTCATTGTAAGAATTAAACAGCTTAGTTTTCGGCACATTATAGGCATTACTGAGACTTTTCAACAGTACCTCTAAACGCAATATAGAAAATTAAGCATCCTATTTCAATAATAGAGGAAATACCAGTGGCGGAGGAGTAATTTATGTGCAAGATGATCTTGAGATTGATCCTTTCTACTTAGTGAGCAAATTCGGTGCAAAGTCAGCATTGGTTCAAATACTATTTTAGTTGGTTGTTTAGACAGACACCCTCGTGCTTCATATGAACTAAACAAAATATTTAATGACTCAATTAGAGTACATAGATTACATAGATTAGTCAATGAAAAAAATTTAACTAACTTGTTAATAATGGGTGATCTAAACTACCCTGATATCTTTTGGGATGATACAGGAGGTATGTTTTGTGGTAAAGAACGAGTTTCAAGCCAAGAATTTTTAGAAAATATAAAGTGACTGTTTTTTAGTACAAGCAGTTTATAAACCTACTTTCAAGCATAACTTTGTTGATATAGTTTTAATTGATGATCCCGATCGTATATATGCAGTAGAAATAGGCCCCTATATCGGATCCACGGAACAAAATCAGTTTCACAAGACATTGTTGTGGGAATATCGAGTTAAGGATCATTTCTGTTCACAAAACAATCAACAAAATTTACAAGATTACAATTGTGGTAATTATGAAGCTATAAGTGAAGCACTTAATGATATTAATTGGCATACAAACTTCTACGATAAAGACACTAACCAATGTTATAAAATTTTCATTGACTTTTATAATAAATTTGTTGAGAAGTTTGTTCCCATGAAATCCCTATCCACCTTCAACTTATCCAAATCAGTACCCAGATGGATGAATAAAGATATCAAAAATGCTTCAAGATATAAACTATCTATTTTCGAAAAGATTATTACAGCATCTAAATTAAATAAAGGTAAACTTAAAACTGAATTCAAAAAACAATGCAAATTAATTAAAAAATTAGTAAATAAAGCAGTTTTACAATATGAAGAGTATTATAAATAAAGCAGTTTTACAATAAAAAGTATTTCAATGCATGCTAAACGAAATTTTAAAATTTTATACTCCTACATCAACAAACAAACAAAAAATAAATCTGATATCAAGGCAGTATTTGATGCTGACAGGAAACAAATCACAGAGAAAAAAGATATTACTCATTGTTTAAACCAACAGTTCCATAAAGCCTTTATTTAGACACATAACAGAACATTAATGCCAGATTTCAAACTATATCTTATGTTGACATTAAAACTCTATTTAGTAATACTTGAGTAGTCGCTCTACTGTGCAGCTTAGACAAATCGAAATCACCTGGAGTAGACCAGTTACATCCTTTTGTTCTTTCAAAATGTTATAAGAACCTGAGTTTTCCATTATCTTACATATTTATCAAATCTTTTGAAATCTTATTGTTCCCTCACTATGGAAAGATCACCCATCTTCAAAAAAGGATGTAAACCAATAAATTACTGTCCAATCTTGTTGACTTCAATTGTAAGTAAGATCATGGAGAGATTAGTGAGAGAATACATGACGGAGCACCTTACTAAACTCAAACTAATATCTATTCACCAACATGGATTTGTTAGTGGTAATTCTTTTGCCACAAATCTCTTAGAGGTGTTAGATATAATTACAGAGGCACTAAACTATAATTTTATGGCTGTCCTAATCTTACTGGACTTTTCCAAAGCTTTTGATAGAGTAAGCCACGAACTACTGAATATAAAACTTAATGGATATGAATTTGATGTAAAATTAATTGCTTGGATTTCTGATTTTTTAAAAAATTGACGAGAGCAAGTAGTCTTAGGTGGTGTGTATTCTGACTGGGCAAAGGTAATGAGTGAGGTACCACAAGGATCGGTTATTGATCCAGTACTGTTTTTGATATATATAAATGACATGCCAGAAATAGTGAAGAATTTTTGTAAGCTTTTTGCAGATGATAGCCAGCTCATTTTTACAATCAAAAACAATATGGATATCATATCAGTTCAAAATAACCTTGACGTCCTCATAGACTGGTCGAAACTATGGGAGATGTCCTTCAATATTGAGAAATGTAAAAATATGAAATTCGTTGAAAAACCAAGCAAATATCTAGATTACTGTTACTTCACTATGAAATACGATATTGGAGCTGAAAATGAAATTACTACATCAGACATGCAATAAATAAAGCAAATATAATCTTAAGTATGCTTAAGCAAACATTCAAATCTTGGACGGGGCCTATTTTTGTTAGATTATTTACAACCTTTGTTCCACCTCATTTGGAATACTGTGCATCTGTTTGGAATACTTTTCAAAAAAAAGACATAAGGGCTCTAGAAGCCATCTAGAAAAAAAGCAACTAAACTTGTTCCAGCAATAAGAAATTTAGATTACAAAGGCCGTCTAACTTATCTCAATTTACAAACTCTAGAAAAAGAAAGGCAACGAGTGGACATGATACAATATTTTAAAACATTCAAGGGGTTTAATGAAGTAAATTGGTTTCATATCAATGCCATACAATATTCCCTTTTAGCACAAGGACCTGCAAGTAATGTTATAGGCTCTAAATTAGGACTGTCGAGACAATTCACAAGAAACCAAGCTAGAAATTACTTCTTTACAAACAGAATTATATTCTTATGGAATAAGTTGCCAAATCAAGTTATCAATTCAAGAAGCGTCAAGAGTCGATATAACAAGTTCATTGTCACCATACAGACATCTGCTAAAGTTTGCTAGACAGATTTCATGAGAAATTTATATTTTTCTCATTGCAGATTATTGTATTATATTATATTATATTATATTTTATATATATATTATATTATATTATATATATATATATATATATATATATATATATATATATATATATATATATATACATATATATATATATATATATATATATATATATATATATATATATATATATATATATATATATATATATATATATATATATATATATATATATATATATATATATATATATATATATATATATATATATATATATATATATATGGTTATATATCCTTGAAAAAAAAGCTTGTATATTACAAATATACAATAAAAATAACTAAAATATCAATGACATTATACCTCAAGATTAAACTAGTAAAAAAAAAATTACTTTATTAACATCTACACATACCTAATATTTCACAAGCAGCATCAATAATTTCAAAAATCATATTATCATCATAGACCATTTTTTCATCAAAGCTATCTTCAAAAACACCAGCCTCCATTCTGCAAAATAATCATTTTTTCATTAAGTATATTGAATAAAATAGTTTATTAAAACATGCATTAGTTAAAAAAAAGTTTACCTTATATTCACCCAACAATCTTCCCCATATTTGGATGTAATAAATTTCTCAAAGCCATTTATAAAAAAGCCAAACTAAATTAAAACAAAATGAAAACTAAATTAAAACAAAATGAAAACTAAATTAAAACAAAATGAAAACTAAATTAAAACAAAATGAAAACTAAATTAAAACAAAATGAAAACTAAATTAAAACAAAATGAAAACTAAATTAAAACAAAATGAAAACTAAATTAAAACAAAATGAAAACTAAATTAAAACAAAATGAAAACTAAATTAAAACAATATGAAAACTAAATTAAAACAAAATGAAAACTAAATTAAAACAAAATGAAAACTAAATTAAAACAAAATGAAAACACTAAGAGATAAAACTTGATACATGATTTAATTAAACAAATATGAACCAATATTTACTATTACTATTGAAAAATTTTTACTAATAATATTCTTTAACATACTAAGGATACTTTTTAGAAGACTAATGCTACTCTTTAATATAACTATACCACTATTAAAACCTCATATCTACTAATGATACGCTTCTCAGTAGGCACAAGGTGTGTTTTGGACATCTAAAAAACATATTAATATGTTTTAATATGTGATTTAGAAGTCTTGTGTGTACTGAGTTGTATTTGCTAACAATTAAGTTAGTAAATACAACCCAGTGGGCAGACGCCTAAAACACATATTAAAACATATTAAGTTTTTTAGATGTTAAAAACACATCTTGTGCCTACTGGGAAGATTCTTTAGTCTACTATTTATACTTTTTACACTGTGGTTATAACTATATAACTACTTGAATGAGGTTATAACTGAATATGGTCAAACAATGCTCATCAATCAAGTTTATGATTCTTTTTAATCTACTAAAAATGGTTAACATAAATATTATAATAATTAGTATACTAAATTCTGTTAATTAAACATTCCATAAAAATTATGTGAATAACTGTTAAAAACCATTACCATATTTTTTTTTTCTTTTTTACCACAGTTATTAGTGAGCTATTGATTTCTGCCACTCTAGAAGTATTTTATCAAACATAAGTAAATTTTTTTTTTTTTAAATAAAGAAAACCTATATCAAAAGTTTGCAAAAAGACTTTTTTAGTACCACAATAAAAAAAGATATTAAAATTATTGTTTATCAACAAGAAAAAAATTTTTATAGTAGCATAAAAAAATTTAGTATACTAGAAAGTCTTATTAAACTATTAGATTTAAGTTTTTAATTATTAAATTTTCTATTATTATTTATCAACAATATTTTAAAAGAATCCATATTCAAATTAAACTTCTTTTTTATAATAAATAACTTTTTTTACAAAATCAAATGTTTCACATTGATTTGAATATCAAAATTAATACATAAGAAAACTTAAATAATGTACTTAAAACTATTTTTATACTTTTATATACTTTGTTATAAAAACTTTTTATAAAAACTCTAAATTTGTCAAATTTTCTCTATTCTTTATAACTTTAAAAAATTTAAAAAAAAAAGTATCTATTTACGTGAGTTGTTCTCAACAGGTAATTAGTAGATAAACAGTTTAAAATAGTTAAAGTATATTTTTAAAGAGAATATCTTAAAAGCTTAAATAAAACAAATAATTCAAAGTGTAAACAATGTAAAATGACTAAATATGCAAAAAACAGTTTGAGACATCAAAACACATTAGTGTATGATTACTGTTAATTAATAGATAATTAAAACTGTTGTCTATTTAAAATTTTTATCAACATATGAGTATGTTGATAAAAATTTTAAATAGACAACAGTTTTAATTATCTTTTATTTCTAAATATGTGTTTATTAGAGGTAGAGTGTTTTTAACAGTATATTGTTCATTTTAATTGTTAATTTGCTTAACATATAAAAAAAAAAAAAAAAGGAAATAAAATAGAGGTGAAAAATAAGAAAAAAAGTTATAAAAAGTTTGGAAGAAGGAACTGAAGAGATATTAAGAACTATAAACTGTAAAAATATTGTGGAGTATAACTATATAATCATCCACTAATGTGTTTTGATGTCTCAAAATTTTTACAGTCTGGAAAAAGCATAGAAAATAATTTGAAAATGAAAAACTTAAAAAAAGATACCTTCAACATATAAAAGTTGATGATTTTAAGAAAAGAATAGCCGAGATGATGTAAATAGGTCACATCAGATTATATGAAAACTTGGTTATTAATAAGATGATAATTATGATAATAATTCAATTTATATTTTGATTGTCACTAAAGTTTCCACACAGATACACACACATAAATACACACACAGTCATTGAAAAAAATTAATTACATATGCTTAAATATGCTTTATGGTTGATGTGTCCATAAAATATTTATAAAGAACAGTCAACTGTAATATTTTTAAAATATTAAATTGTATTACATATACATATATAATATATTAAACATATGAAAAAGTATTTTAAATATATTGATCCATATCTTTTCAAAAATCAAACCTCTTTTTATTTATAAAATTTACTTTTTAAAATTAAAAGAGCAGAAAAAACAAGAGATTTGTTAAATTGACTTAATTTGATTGAATTTAGATTCAAGGCCTAATTTTTCCCGAAGTCGACCTTGTAACAAAGAATGTTCCAGCACCCCAATTTGTACTTCCATTTCTATGCTTTCTTGTTGCAATTTCGCTAGGGCTTGTTTAATTCTAACAAGAGGCCCTGAATCTGTCATATTAGTACCTCGTTCATCCATTTGTATTTTAACTAGTTCTAGCTCCTCTGTAAGTTGTGATAATGTTTGTGTTAACTCAGTTACCCCACCACTGCTTTGGTTGTACTTTTCTTTAATCACTGCTAACTTGTCTTGACTATTTCGATACTCTTGTACTAAAGATTCTAATTGACTATTAATATATTTTTCTCTACTGGCAACTTTTTCAAGAGTTTTACTGATTTCTTGGTGAAGTTTATCTAGTTGAGATTGTGTATCATGCAAAGTTTCATTAATACCTTTACTGTATTGTTGCATTTGTTCATAATGACTACGCCAGTCCTTATTATCAGCACGAATGTGTACTTTAAGTAGTGGTAATACTCTTTCAATTTCAAGCTTCCATTCGTCTATATTTGTTTGGGATTCTAATACAGATTCTGGTTTTGCACTAGAAAATCCATTCAATAAGGATTGATGTTTTAGTCCTGAAAGATCAAGATAGCTATCTTCTTCTTCAACCTCCTCTTCTATTTCATCTGCTAACTCATCATTTAATTTTTCAATGGTTAACTCAGAATCACCTTCAATCATTTGCTCCTCAGGCTCTTCTTCTTGAACATATTCTGGTCGACTCCATTTAAATTGCTGATATTTTAAAGCTTCATCGGAAAGTTTATTTAATAAATATATAACTTGTTCTCCGCATCCTGATTTTAATTTAGCTGGTGGAAAATCAACTGTAATACCTAGCGTGCGTGCTTGTGTAAGAATTTCAGAGACAGTAGCATTTGGATCATCATACTCTTGAGGTCTTGTAAATGATATTCCACATTTATTTAAAAGCCAAGCAACAATATTTGTAAACTTATGAAATTGTTCACCTGGGTTTGTTGGTATTGCAAAATAATGTCGAGAAAACTGTTTAAAACCCCATTGTTGACAAAACTCTTTTTCATATTCAATAAGTTTTAATTTTTCGATAAAATCTTCCATCATAACAAAATTATTCATATAAGATAAACCAACAGGACTGCCCTTATAATCTTGAGGATCAGACTCATCAGCCATTTTTTAGCTAAAAATATTTTCTACAATTTATATATATCTATACATGCATACTTGAAGTTTAAATGTGTGTATGCATGCATGTGTGTGTGTGTGTGTGTGTGTGTGTGTGTGTGTGTGTGTGTGTGTGTGTGCGCGTGTGTGTGTGCATTTGTATGTACAAAAAACATAGTAATCCGCAAATGAACAAAATATTATTATAAACAGTTCCAAATTTTATACTGAAAAAAAAAAGATTATTATAATTTAAACAGGGTTTTTTTTATATCAATTAAACTTCAAAATTGAAGTTTAAATTTTGATGATTAAAAAACTTCTCTTGAGAGTAGCTTTTTAATCATCAAAACATTAACTTTTTTAATCATCAAAACAGAAAGTTTGTGGTATTAGTAGTAGTAGTAGTAGTAGTAGTAACATTTTATAATAGCTAAAAATCGTGCCGAATAAAAATTGCTGAAAAGGCGTAAACTTAAACATTAAATAACAAAAATTTCATAAAATTATACGAAACTTAAAAGTAATGTTTCTTTTTAAATTCAAAATTATTTTTTTGTTTTCTTCAAGTAAAACCCGGCGACGGTTACCAAAACATTACTTACAAAGTTTGGGTTATCAAGTCAAAAAATCTTGAATTAACTGAATTAATCATAAACTTGAAAACTTTTAAAAACTAATTAAACGTTCGAACGTTTTATTAGTTTTTAAAGAAAAACGTTAACGTGTATGGCTTTTAATGTCCATAAACCAATTTTCTATGTATTTTTTGAATTTCTTTAACTAGCATACAAATATCAACTTTTTTCCTTAATTCAATACTAAGAATTGAAACTCACAATATGGTTTTTGCTATAGAAGGCTGGTTAAAATTGCCAAAAGTTTTAGCAAAATTGATTTTACGCTCGCATTTAAACTTTTAATTTCCAATCTTTTTTATTTACATAGGTATAGTAATGCGTTTTTTGAGCTAGTCAATGAAGAGCTAAACAAAATAAAAGAATGGTTTATATCAGGGACGGATGCAGTATTTTTGGTGTTTAAGATAGCTAACTTCCAGACATGGAACAAACTCCAAACTTTTAAATGTTTATTCTTATGTCCAACATGAACGCCTTGCAAAAAATTGCAATGAATGAAGTCTAGGAACAAAAACGTCTCAAAATCTTACCTCCCCCCCTTGCCCCAAACGTAGGAGCAACAAGCAGATTTTTTTTTTTTTTTTTTTTCAGTTCTCAATAATTATAAACTGTATTACTGTACTATTAAAGTCTACATTTAAAACAGTCGAGTGATGATGCGTTTACTATGGTACTTAATAAAGAGTTCCAATTTTTAACTATTCGATTAGAGAAAAAATTACGTCTTATATAATATTTCAAATTTTTTTCAATGGCTAGTTCATAGGCATGGCTCCTTGTTCTTAAACTATACTTAGATCTTTAATACGCTGGTGTGGTTTGTGGCGCTACACAATTGATTGAATCAATTCCATTAATTATTTTATAATGCTGGATTAGATCCATACGCGTGCGACGTTTTTCAAGGGTAATGAAATTAAGCCGAGTTAAACGTTCCTCGTATTTTAGATGATTTATAGACTTAATCCGTTTTGTAGTTCGATGTTGAATTCTTTCGATTGTATTTTTATCTCTTATGAAATGAGGAGACCGCGCCGGGGCGGCAAATTTTAATAATGGTCGGATATAAGTAGTGTATAGGAAACGCCAAAGAATTAAACCACGACTTCTGAATCCTTTTTTAAATTTTACAAGCAATCTATTTCCAGCTGCAGCTGCATGCTCAGCTGGTAACTTTACTAATAACTTTACTTTTAACTTTACTAGATAAAGTTTTTTTTTTTACTATTCTCAGCTAAAGTTATATTTATCTAGGGGGTTACAAACTTTATATTTTTTTCTAACTCAGTGATATTTTAAACGCTTTTAATCTAAATAAAAACGCATGTTTTTGTAGAATTGTATTTGGAGCATCAACTACTGTACCATGTGAGCCAGTTATATATAAACTTAGAGAGTAAAATGTTAACAAAACAAACATTTTACGAAATTTTTTTTATTTTCAAAAGATTAAAATTTCATTAAAATAATGAATAAGGATGCCATTGGTAAAGATATTCATAAAGAGTATGAATTTATAATTCATTATATCATAAATTATTTTTTACTTAACATCAAATAGTCTAGACTGTTTTTAATTTATGCTTCTAATTGCAAAACAATAAAAACAACAACAGCTTGGAGTTATTTTCAAAAATAAATATTTTAAAGCAAGGTGTTATAAAAACGTATCACACTTTATTTGTTCTTGAAAGTAGCTCCAAATTGTTATTATTATTTTTTTTTTTTTTTGTTTTTGTTTTACATTCATTAATCTAATTATGAAGATACTTTATTTAGATAATTTTACATTTAAAATATTTATAATATTTTTATACTTTTTATGTTGTTGAAAAAATTTATTAATTTTATTATAAAACACATAATATATAAATATATACTACAAAATACATAATTTATAAATAAATACATAAAGTGTAATTATTAAAATGGGGCCCAGTGATAAAGCTACTCAGTAGCGAATTGAAGTTTAGCGTCGTATGGGGGTGGGGGGCTAAGGAAATGAGTAAGGGCGACAAGGGTTGGGGGTAGACATTAACCCCAAAAAACGTTTTTTTGAGAATTTCACTTGTGATAAATATATTTTATTAATACTTCTACGTCTTCATTAAACAATCTGAAGTTTGAGCTTACTAAGTTTACTTTGGTTAACAATTATCGTTAAAAAAAAAAGAAGAAACATTTGAAATAATGGCAATGATTTGGTTATTTAAAAATATGTTTACACTATACATATAACTGAAAACAAACATTAAGAAAGAAATTTACTTTCCTGCTAATTTATAAAAAATTTTCTGCGAGTTTTCATTACCAGCCTATACAGAACGTTCGTTGGGCTACTTAAGAACATCATACAGACTTGTGACATCTATATGGCGCTATATAGACGTCTTAAAGACGTCTGTACCCGCTGGATTGAAAGAAAATGATTTATTGATAATTCAAAGTCAATGATCTCAGCATACTGATATTCAATTAAAATTTGTGTCAATTCAAAAAGATGTTGTCATGTCATTGTAGATCACTGATAATTAATGATCTTTAGTCTACTGAAACCTCTCTCGTCATAAGCAGATATAAAAGGAAGAATCAAGTCAATTTTGTAGAATATGGACAAGAGTGAAAAACATGATGTCATCTATTTTTATATTAAGAAAGGATTATTAAGAACGGATGTACGCCTTTCATTTGTAGTTGACATTTTTGTCAAAAACATTTTTAACACATAAAAATAAATCTAACTTGCTCCCCAATGTTGAAACCAGTTTATTTTTAATTTTAATTTTTTCATTTAAAAAAAAATCGTTTACCGTTTGCAAAGTCATTGCAATTTTATAATCCTCTTTTACTGTACGGCCACAGTAGTTTTAAAACATAATTATAAGAGGTATTTTCTTCAAACAAAATTTCTCAGTTTTGTTTTCTGCCATAAATGCGTGCAAAATTGAAAAGCAGGTATGTATGCGATGGTTTTTTGTTAAATAGTTTTCTATTTCCGTTTAAAGTAAATGCAGAATTTTGTAATGTGAAACTTATATTTTAGGGGTGCCAGTTAAATGGCTCAGAAAGTGCGGGTAGGGAAGTTCGAGTCCTCCCTCACGTCTTTTTTTTTTTTCTAATTTATTTAGCTGTACAAATATTTACAGGTACGTGTTTTATAATATATATAAAAATGGCAAGGATGAGAAGACAGGTTTGCTAGGTATCACTAGGTCCCTTGTTTTTTCAAGACATTTATATAAATATTTTGTAACTAAAATTAAAAATGAGAGAAAAAATGTTTCAAAGAAGTACAAAATGCAATTAGTTTAATAGAGTCTTTTGAAGTTATTTTTAATATAAGTTAAGGAAGTAATTTAATCTCAATAACATTAAGGTTAACTTACGGTATCGCAATGCTATTTATATTCAAATTTTAAAGTTATTTATTGAAAGAAAATTTAATAATACGCCTTATGATGAGTCCGTCACTGAGGCCAATTTATATCTTATTTTTGTTCCATTTATTTTTTAATATATTTGGACATATATTGCATATATTGTTTAGATCCAAAATAAATTTAACAATTTGATTAATTTCGAAATAAACCGCAAGTACGTCTTGCGACTATAAAGACGTACTAATGCAAAAGCTTGATATAATAGGGAGGAATGCACTTAAGTCACTCTTCAATGTTTCCAAACACAGCAAAAATTATATTCATTCTTTGTTTTACATCCAAGATATATCAACAATTGTACAGCAAAACAAGTTAAACTTATTTATTCGGATATTGAGTAGAAAAACAACCTCTGGTATTGTAAATTCGGAGTTTAAAAACCAAACCGCTAAGCACTCTTTTCTAGATGATGTCATAGGTTTATGCAATCGGAATGAACTCAATCTAGAGAGCTTAATCCAAAACAAAAAAAAAGTAAAAATTGTGTTAAGAAATATAATTCCTAAAAAAGATCTTCAAAAGTTGAGCTATGCAATTGAGTTCTGGAACTCATTGGAGCAAAGGAAAATATTCAAGGAAATTCTTGAAGTAAATATTCCAAAATAAAAACTTATTTCTTGTCAAAAATTAATAAAATATATATATTTAAACCATTTTTTAATTATTTTCAAGAATCACTTTCTGAATGAAATGATACAAAATTTAATTATATAATAATTTTTTTAATTAATATATAATTTTTTGACTAGGTATTAAAATTTCGGCCTCCTAATATTTTTTTTAATGAAAAATCAGCATAAAACTCTCCTAAGTATTACTAAAATTTGCTGTCAGTAATTTTAAAATGCTTCCTTGAATATTATTTTAATCCGGTTAGAATCTTTTTTTCGGCGTTAGATTTGCATTATCCAGTAAAAAATTGTAGATTAAAAACAATAAGGTGAACTATAGGTTGAATGAAATTCGGTAATTGTTAATTTAGTGAATGGTTTTTATTAATTATGTCTAAATGACATCACGCTAGTAAACTAGCGTGATGTCATTCAGACATAATACTTTTTTATTATTACCAATCTAGTAAAAAAAAAATTTTTTTGTTACGAGAGTTAATTTTTATTAATGGTAGTTTTTTTAATTGTTATAATTGGTTGCTTTTTTTTAATTAAGTGTTCTTTTAATTAACCATCACATATTTCTTGCGTTCAATTCATTCTTTCCACCTTAAAAATAAGTTTTATTTTATTTGTATTTATTTAAATACAGTATAAAATTTTCTATAACTTGAAGAAAAAAATCTGTTTTCTACTGAATAAATAAAAGAAGCTCATTTGACCCCATTCTTCTTTAGTTAATTTGGTTGTCCTTGATAATATTAATGTTAATATCGATCGTTTCATTCCATTTCTTGCTTATTTTAGATTTCAATTTAATGCAAAATTTCAAAGCAGTTGTTAAGCGAAATTATTTTAGCAGATTGCAAATAAACATATTTTTCTATATCACTTTAGTCGCAACAAATAATATTTGAAGAAATAAAAAATTGAATTACGGAAACAATTTTGGGAATGTAAAAAAGAAATACGATGACCAAAATTAACATTTTACGCCAACCTTACGCGTTATAATTAAACTTTTTGCTTACAACAAAGGAATAGACGCTATAGGTTCCAAACCTCTAATCTATGCAGCAGAATATTGTTTTAGCAATCTCCCAATGTGCGGCTATTAAAGTTTTGTTTGAAGCTCTCATTTTTAAAACTATGCAATGTTAGTTGTTTTTTGTCGTTGAATAAAAGTTCAGTCACCAAAATTTATTTTTTAACATTTTTTATCAATTCAAAAATTGGAGAGTGAAATGAGGACGTCTAATAACTTCCTCATTTCATTCTGCAGACGCATCCTTATTTACAAATTAGAACACTTCTATTGACAATCTGCATTTAAGTATTCTTTTTTACATTTATTAAAATTGAAAATATTAAACTAAATACATGTTAATAAACATGAAAAGATAAAAGTGAATAAACTCAAAAGTGCAAAGTTAATTTATATTAATAAAGTTTGAAAATTCATTTTAAGTATTTATTGCTCCAGTTCTTTTTTTAAGCATTTATTGTTCCAGTTCTTTTTTTGACAACAGCTTTAAAGCCAACATTTGAGTGAAAATCATCAGACGAGAATTTCAAGTACATGATTCCGCTCGAATCAATAGTTAAAAAACTGCCACGATTGCCTGACCATGTTCCAATTTTGGCGTGCGCTACAAACAAAAAATGAGACAAAAAACATTAAACTTTTAATTCCGGGGGCTGTGTTAATTGTTGTATTTTAGGGAAATAAGAAGGAGGGTTTAGGGAAATAAGAAGGAGGAGTTTATGATGATTGTAGGTGAGATAAAAATAATTTATTTTAAAAAATTTATCATCCTTTATAAAAATAACAACTGATGGCAAAAAAATAACTTTGTGTATATTCCCAAAAAGTAGATTAAAAGAAGAATAAGAAAGGGTTTAAAGCGAAAATAAAAGTTTAACACTCAAAACAAAAATGAGCAGACAGAAAATGAATAAAAAAAAATTTTTTTAAACAATTGTTAATTTTTTGAATGATTTTCAATTTTAATCAACATTTTTGCTTAAATTAAAAAGCGTAATCAAAAAACACAAACAACAACGACAAACAAAAAGACCACCGATTTTCGTACATACATTAATTTAATTTTTAATGAACTTCCATCTCTAAAGAAATTGTACACGTTGGCACAAACGATAAAAAATGAACGTCTGAAAGTTTTAAAAAGCTTTATGGAAAACTTTTAAGTTAAAAATGATGAATAAATAAAAATAATGAAGACAACTGAACTTCTATTTATGCCCTTTCTAATATGTTAACTTTTGCTCATACAGATACTATGAAAGCTCCTACAGCTATAGTAACAGTTGACACTGCTCCTTCAGCTATACAATTTCTACTGTTCATAAAATAACTAGTAACAGTTGCTACGTTTCATTAAGTTACACACCCGCAAGTCTTTCACTTGGTGACAATCCAGTAACATTATTGTATATATGTTGTTGTATACATTAAATATGATAATAATTGACCAAATATCTCACATGATTTACATGCTCAAATCTAGAAGGTTGAAGTAACCTCAATATTTTTATTTACTTTCAAACCTTTTGCAACTATTTCTGCATCAATCTTTCTCTTTGTATGAGACAGAATAATGATTTGAAAAAATGTAAACCAATAATCTGAAAAGGATTTCTTTAATGAAAAATGAAGCTCTATTGTTTTTAATTAATTTTTTTTATAACAGCATTCCCCAACTCTCAGAAATATTGTAGCTCATTTTTATTTTCTAGTTTCAACAAGTAAAGGTGGTGCAATAAATAGAATTCTATAAAATTCAATTGAGCAATCTTTATGTTCTGAAAAGATATTGACAGGGATTAAATATTTTTTTCAATTTTCGACTAAATCATCTGCAACAATTAAAAGGATTACATATATTATTATTATTAATTGATCTATATATAGCTTGTTTTTAGTTTATTGGTTTATACGTTATAAATATTTAACAAATAAATCATTTAACTTTTGAATAATTTGAATAAATTGCTTCTTTTGTGTACCTTTGAATAAATGTTTTATCTCCATGTTTATGTTCAGACTGATGGCACCATTCGAAAATATTGACCTCTATCCATAAAAAAAATGGAATACCACAAAAGAAAATGCCAAATATCAACAGATAGTTTTGAGTAAGCAACAACAATATTCAATTTAAATATTCAGATTTTAACTGCTTTCATTTGATTTTGATTTGAAAAGTAGGGTGGCAAGTAGTCAATTTATTTCGATCAAAAGTGGAAAAAAATGACAATTTGATGCCCTGTAAAATCTAAACTTGCTGTTTTAAATATTAACAAATATTAATTAATAATATGCCCATAAAATTATTATGAAATGATGAAAGGTGAACAGTGCTGTTAATTTTATAAAAATCTTTACAAATACTTTTTTTTCTTTAACATTCTTTATTTTCCAAAAAAATTTTCTAGTGTCAATATTGCAGTGGTGTACCCTCCCAGTATATTTAATAAATGATTGCTCAATCTCTTTTTCCTTATCCATTTGTATTATTATCCATTAAATGTTTTTTCTCTTTGACTCAAATGTAATTTTGCTGGCCCCTCTAACTTTTACTTTTTTTTATTTACACTGATTTGTTCTCTTTTTTTTTATTTACTTTTTTTTATTTTTATTTTTTTATTTTTTTTATTTTTTTATTTGTTTTCTCTTATCACAATAAAAAACATAAAACATCTTTTTTTCTCTCAACATCCTCGCTTGCAACAAGGCTGCAAGCAACCACTATTAGAGTTAGAAGTTACTGGAAGAGAAAAGATGAAGTTTATAGAGAAAGCTAACAATTGAACTTAAAATATTGCAAATTATATTCACCAGGAAAACAAGATGAAGGGAGCAGATTCCAAAGAACTGATGTTCAAAGAAAAAAGTTAGAAGAATAAAAGTTTTTGGAGTACTTAGGAACAGCACAGAAAAAGGATGAGACTTAATTGAATGAAGAGTAACACGAGAATGAATTTTAGTAGATGGCACAAGAGATGCTAGCTCATTAGAGCTATGCATCTCTTGTGCCATCTACTAAAGCTACTTTTCTACAAAAACTATAATGGTGTCCATTATAGTTTTTGTAGAAAAGAGAAAGTGAAGCAACATTACAACAATATAATAATGGTTGAAGCTGCAAGAGCAGGTATAACTATGTTTACAATGTGTTTTTGCACCTTGTCTGAAAAAGAAAGGGCATCATTAGAAGACTCGCCGCAGATATGGCAACAGTATTCCATACAATGTCGGATTTGAGATTTATAGAAATAGAGAACAGAATCCAGAGTAAGAAGTGTCGAGCTCGATAAAGAGATGCAACTTTAGCAGATGCTAACTTTGCAACAGATTTGATATATGGTTTCCATAAAAGATCAGAAGTAAGAGTTAATCCTAGAAGATAAAGGGTAGATGACTCATCAAGTACATTACTGTTCATAAATATAGGAAGGTATAAATTATTGCGATAATGATTGGCTGAAAAAAATTGAGTTTGATCTGAATTAAAATTCACCAGCTACTGTGAGCCCCATGCTGAAGCAGAAGAGAGATCTTTTTCAAGCCCAAATGCCCCCTCCAAGCAATCAGAGAGAGTTGGCTTTTTATCATGACAAGAATAATTAGTAGTATCATCAGCCAACAATGCCACCTAAGATGTGAGATTACCTGGAAGATCGCTAATGTAAATTAAAAGGAGTATAGGGCCAAGGATTGAACCTTGAGGAACCCCTGAGGTTACAGAATAAGAAGAAGAGTGCTGTCTATCAAGGACAACTTTTATACTGCAATTGGAAAGGAAGGATTCAATAATCTTAAAGATGTTTCCAGATACACCATAAGAAGAAAGTTTATGGAAAAGACTAGCATGCCAAACGCTATCAAAAGCTTTAGAAATATTAAGAGGGATAGTCTTAATCTCTCCACCTTTATCTAATGCACAATAAAACCTATCAGTTATTACTGTTAGTAAATCAGCCGTAGAAGGAGAAGATTGAATATTGATGATCAGAAAGTAAGTTATTAGATTCAAGATGAGAGATTAAGTGTTTGTTAATTAAAAAATTCAAAAATCTTGCTTATAATAGAAAGAAGACTAATGGTAGTTAATGGTAGTTAGACAAGTCAGATCGCTCTACAGAACTTTTGAAAATAGGGATAACATGCTGTTTTCCAGCATTCAAGAAAACAAGACTCCGATAAGCACTTGTTAAATAGTTTTGAAAGTATAGACAACAGCGACGGAGAACACTTCTGCAAGACTACAACAGGTATGTTGTCCAGACCACAAGCTGTAGAAGAGTCTAAGCAGGAAATCACTTTACATACTGAAGCTGGAGTGATACAAATGTCAAGCAATGAATCAACCAGTTTGTCAGCTATACCAGCTAGAACGCAACTAATGGAATCAAGAGATGATATTGATGAAAAGTTCTTAGCAAATAATTCAGCTTTGTCTTTAGATGAGGGAACAAAATCTGAACCATACAAGAGAAGTGGAATAACAGATTTGTCCTTATTACTGATACTATTAAAGATTCTCCAGAAGTCATAAGAGCATATTTTTCGTGATAAAATACAAAATTTCATGAACTGAAAATAATGGGCTTTGGCATTAGACAAAACCTTTTTTCAATGGTTTCTAGCAATAGTAAACAGATGACTGTTTTCTGGAGAACTATTTTGCTGATAGATATGGAAGTAATGGAAATAGATTGGAAATTGCTGCAGCACAATGTGAGGTAAACCATGGAGAAGAGTGAGGCTTGACTTGGAATCATCAAGAGGGAACAAAAGATTCCATGCTAGCCTGAATCCACAATGTGATAAGCATTAAAGTCACCAAGAACAACGATATTGGCTGATGGATAAAGAGAGAGGGCTTTGTCAATTTAATCAGAAAAACATCAAAAAGTCTTGAGATAAAGGAGAGTAATATAAAACAAAGAGAAAGGTGCTAAATAAAAGCACATAAAAGAATGGTCTGTGGATTCAAACCTACAAGTGGGTGAATTCTTACAAATGTTAATGCCAACGCCGAGCATGTGGCTACTGGAGTCTTTAAAAAGATAACCATCAACACTAATATTATAAGATGAGACAGCTGAGCTTAAATTAGTCTCACAAAGAGCAAGTAGGTCTGGTTAACTTTGCAAGAGATACGACTCAACAGAAGAAAAGTTACTTCGAAGACCATGAATATTAGTGAATGATAGGTTTAGAGAACTTGATGATGATGATGGTTTTTTGTGTTCTATAGTTTCTGGTACTTTAGACATTTTTAAATATGTTAAAGAACTTGACTCAAAGCATAGATAGTACTAAGTATACTATTCAATAGTCCAAGCAATTGCCTCATTGCTATTAATAAACCCTAAGCTGTAACAAAGGGCTCCAAATGTGGCCTCGACAACGCCCACCAAAAGTACAAACAGGGAAACAATATATGCCCAACATGGCACTGTTAATACTTTGATGTTTTCCAGCTGTTGATGGAATCAGCCTCTCTGAGAGCTACCACAGAGTTCGGGAAACCTGACTACCAACCGGCCTCAGAACCATAAAACTGAGTTTTAGAGCTGTACCCTCATTAGGAGATAATACAATAAGTTGCCCAATCATAAAAACACAAGCAACACCCATGCATAGAGACACAAACAAAACTCATGCATTGAGTCAAGAAGATCTAGCATTCAACATCCTAAACTGGAAACAATGTATTATAAATATGTCTGTGCCAGCCTAATAGATGAAGAAGGGGTGCAAGGCTGGTCAACTGAGAGAATCTGTTTACCCCTTGTAGATGGAATCTATTTACCCTATCTTATATCCTCCAACTCATCTCCTTATTCTAATAAGGACACTTTTTCTGACACCCTTAACAAACAGGTTAATTCTTGTCAAACATTTTAATTACTTATGCTTCATTATTCATATTACTATAACTAGTAAGGTCTTTTGAGTACTTCTAAAAAACCTGCCTGAAGCTTTTTAGGGAGTAAATTTGTTAAAAAAAATAAATAAGCTATACAAATTTATATTATGGTGGTTTTTTTTAAAAAAAAAATTTTATTACTACATTTAAACTATGTTAATTTTATTAAAAACAACATTAAATAAAATGATATACAATAAAAAATAAAAAGAATATATTATTCTTTTTGTTTTTTATTGTAATGATAAAAATAATTTCATGAAAAATACACTTCAATTAAAAAAACTCAATGCGTCATGCAAAAATTTAAATACAAAAAAAAATATTTATATAACAAAACATAAAACTATTATAAAAAAATGACTTTTATTATTAAATTTTTTAAAAACGATAAAAAGGGAAGGGTAGCTCATTATAGATTTATGCTCCCATAAAAAAAGAATGGTAGTTCATTTTAGATTTATGTTTCCATTAAAAGAGAATTTTTAAAATGTATTTTCAACTTTTGAAAGAGATTATTTTTATTAAAATATTCAAAAAATTTCAAACCTGACAAACTGGTCACAGAGCTCCATGCTTCTAATTCATCGCGTTGATCTGTATTAAACTGTTCAAAAGCTAATACAATGTTATTGTTAGGCAGCATCACTTGCCATGTGCAAATAATTCCATTTGGGTAATTAGAAGGATAGTTAGGAGTTGTAATAACTTGTCCAATGGTGGTGATGTGACCTCCACATTCTAGAGAACAACCAAATCATATAGAACAAGCAATTTTAATATTTATATCTTAATTATTAAAGATTATTAACAATCTTTAATTTACAAAAACTGAAACTTGAACAACAATTCCAGAGTATCATTTATAAAAAGTATCAAAGTAATGTATCAAAGTATCAAAGTAAAGTATCAAAGTATCAAAGTAAAGTATCAAAGTATCAAAGTAAAGTATCAAAGTAAAGTATCAAAGTATCAAATGAACCTGAGGATGTATAATCAGCTGTAAAACCATCTGCAGAGTTTTCACCAGTTGTTACAAATCTTGCATCAATCACATTTGATGATGAAGTAATACGAATCGATTGTGGGATTGCACCATGCAGTACTGTGAGCAAATTTTGTGATACTCCATCGAAAATTTCAAGCCTGTCATTTGGACCAACAGTTTTTAATGTGCGCACATCAAGCACAGCCTTTTTATTTAATGGCATTACAATGTTCCAGCGACAGTATTCTTGATTAGAATATGAATTTGGATAATTTGGTGATGTTATAGTTCCTGATGGACCAACTAATTTTTGTGAGCCGCATAAGCCAACTGAATTAAATTAAACAAAAGTTATCATTAACAGTCAAATAATTAAAGATTAAAAGAAAATTAAAAATTAAAATAATGTTAAAATAAAAAATTTTTTGAACTAAATTTGAATGACAATTTTTATTTACTGCATGATGAAAAACATACTTAAAAATAAATTAAAAAACTATTGTGTTTTTCAATCTATCCTACTAGTTATAATAATTTATGAACTGTATAACTAAATCTATATATACCTTTACATTGTGGTAACAAATTGCTCCATACACCATTCAAACCACAAACAATAGACCGAGCACCTTTTAGTGAGTATCCAGCATTGCAATCAAATAAAACTGTAGCATTAATTGAAAAACTATTTCCAAGACGTAAGCCATTTTCAGGAAAACCTGGGTCTCCACAAGTTATTTCTAAAAATGATAAAAGAAAAAGAAAGTTTTAATTTTTTTTTTTAAACATCTTAGTATCCAACAAGGCTGCAAGCAACCACTTGGACGGTAGTTTAACAAATCAGATCACGCTCCAGAATATTTAAAAATAAGGATAACAGATGCTGTTTTCGACCAGGCTGGAAAACAAGACTCTGATAAACACTTCACACTTCTGCAAGACTATAACAGGTATGTTGTCCGGGCCAAAAGCTGTAGAAGAGTCTAAGCAGGAAATCACTTTAGATAAAAAAACTGGAGTGATACGAATGTCAAGCAATGGATCAACCTGTTTGACGGCTATATCAGGTATAATACAACTAGTGGAATCAAGAGATGGTATTGATAAAAAGTATTTAGCAAATAATTCAGCTTTGTCTTTGGTGAGGTGACAAAGTCTGAACCATACAAAAGAGGTAGAATTACAGACTTTCCCTTATTATTGATACTATTAAAGATTCTCATGAAATCTTTACGATTTCATGAGAATCTTTAATATTATAATTTTATCACGAGAGCCTAATTTTTGTGATGAAATACAAGATTTCATGATCTAAGAATAGCTGGCTTTAGCATTAGTTAAAACCTTTTTACAATGGTTCCTAGCAGTAATAAACAGACGTCTGTTTTCTGGAGAATTGTTTTGTTGATAGATACGGAAGCAATGGTTTCTATTGGTAATTGCAGCTTAAGAGTGAGGCTTGACCTGGAATCGTCGAGAGGGAATAAAGGATTCCATGCCAGCCTGAATCCACAAAGTTATGTAAGAAGCACATTTGTCAACAGGAAGATGAAAGATTTCTACCTATAGGCCACCATGAAGAAAATTACGGAAAGAGTCCCAGTCAGCTTTAAGGTAGTTGTAAGATGTACGATGATAAAGGGATTCTGATTATAAAGAAGAATGAAATAATAGTTTTAGAGAGATCAAACTGATCAGAGGCACCTAAAGGTGAGTGTGGAGAAACTGAACACTGACTAGGATCAGAAACAAGACATAAGTTGAGTAGAGAAGGTAAATGATTTAAGTTGTCTGGAAAATGAGTTGGAAAGTTGACTATTTGAGTTAGGGATTGAGAAAGGCAAAAGTTGTGGGCTTTAATGCCTGCAGTCACTGACGCTAGAGCCAAGCCATTCAGTGTGACAAACATTAAAGTCACAGACAACAACAATATTGGCTGATGCATAAAGAGAGAGGGCTTGGTCAATATGATCAGAAATAATATCAAGTAGAATGCAGTCTTGAGATGAAGGAGAGCGATATAGAACAAAGGTGATAGAGTAAAGTGGTGCTAAACAAAAGCACATAAAAGAGTAGAAGAGCTACCACAGAGTTCGAGAAACCTGAGTACCAGCCGGCCTCAGAACCACAAAAATGAGTTTTAGAGCTGTACCCTCATTAGGAGATAATACAATGAGTTACCTAGTCATAAAAACAGAGGCACATGCAAAACCCATGCATTGAGTCAAGAAAATCCAGCATTCAACATCCTAAACTGGAGACAATGTATTAAAAATACATCTGCCCCAGTTTTTATTCTAATAGATGAAGAAGGGATGCGAGGCTGGTCACTAGATAGAATCTGTTTACCCCTAAAGTCTTTGCCTAGGAGGCTTTCTACAAGACAGCAGTCAGATGCATTTGCATCTGCCCAAGATAAGTTTTTTTATTGAGACACCGTCTCTAGCCTTTACTCAACCAAGAGCCCCAAGGCAGGGGGTGTTTTTTTTATGTCAGAGTTGGCATCTCCTAGCCTTTGCCTAAAAAGGCACATCCTACAAAGCAGCTGGACATGAAGCAGATTGTACTGGGTTACATGTTACCAGTAGCAGGATAACCTGACCTGACAAGAGTTTTTTAATACAATATAATGAAATGTTAGTAATTAATACAATATAATGAAATGTAAATAATTAATACAATATAATGAAATGTAAATAACTTGATGTCTCTTCTAATAATAAAGATTTATTGTAAGCTAAGTGTAAGAATCTAGAGCTATTTTAGTAAGGCATCACTGATGACAATGATGTCAAAGAGTCACGTTACTGAAATAGCCATAGATAGCAGCTTCAGTCATCAGTTTAGAGGTTGTTTTTTTTTTCTATTCTAATTGGCTTCTAACAAAGCTGCAAGCAACGAGTTAGGAAATTAGGGCAAGGAAACTGTAGGCAGAAGATTGAAAACTTGTAGATTGTATGAGTCAGGAAAAAATAAAAATGGGAGAGAGTTTCAAAGGGTTGAAGTGTGGGGGAAAATCCAGGACAAATAAAAGTTTTTAGAACATGCAGGGAGAGATACAGTAAAAAAATAAGACTGAATAATGAGTCAAGCAAGAATGAGTGAACTAGAGATGATAGTTCCTTTGAGCAGCTCAGAGTGGGTTCAACTACATTTACAATGCATTTTTGAACTTTGTCTAGAAGAGAAAAAGCATTATTAGAAGAATCAGCCTAAATATGACAACAGTATTCCATAAAGGGACGAATAAGAGATTTGTAGAGAAGGAGAATGGAATCAGGAATAAGAAAATAGCAAGCACAATAAACAGAAGCAACCTTAGTAAGTGCTAATTTGGCAATTGATTGTAAATATGGGAAATTCTATTTTTAACTTATGTTACACGCATAAAACCTTTATCAAATATTTGCCTATTTAAATTGTAATTTAGGCTTTTAACTATTTTGTATAAAAGCTGTTAGTCTAAAGAATAAAATAGGCTAAAATATTTTGAGTGTGGCCAAAAAAAGGCAAACTTATTACTAAAAATGCCACTTAACTTATGTTACATGGAAAACATGGTAAAAAAATTGTTTCAATTTTTAGGTCAGATTTCTACGAATCAGTAAAGCAGTTTGTATTAGAAACTTTTACAAGATGTTACGAATTCTATGCCAATTTAAAAAATATATAAAACTTTATCAGAGGTGACTGGCTAAGGAAAATAAACGTATTTTTTTGATACTACGTTTTTAACTTATGTTACATCACTTACATTACCGAGTGATATTTATCGTTGATTTTTTATATCTATTATTCAGAGTTAGAGTTACATAACAAAAGAGTTGAACTTATTCATTAAAAAAAATTAACAAAAGAAATTTTAAAAAACTGGTGGCACTCTTCCTGAGTGATTTTTCATAACATTTATGAAAGTTATTCAATGGCTTTCATCATTTAAACAGCTTTTACGCAGGACCAAGAGCAACTTAAAAAATATGTATGACAACTTTATTAATACTTATTGAGTCATTTAAATAAGAAAACCTTATAGTTTGCTAAAAATTTTAGTAATACTTCTTATGTTTACGTGTATTTCCTTATTTTCATTAGGTTGAATTTTTAAAATGCTGGAAAGTATTTACATTTAAATCTTTTAAAATATTTTTGGCAAAAAAAAATACTATCACAGTTTAAAGAGAGGGGTTCAGATATATGTGATCGTTTGTGAAAGCAGGAAAGAGGTTAAGAATTGACAAATATAGGGTGACGTGCTTTATGGATGACCCATAGTTGCATTTACAACTGATTTGTTTAACTAAAACAAAAATAAAAAAGATTCGAACTGACTTTTTTTATATTAGGAGAATAGCAAATAAATCTTTTTTTTTTTAATTTCTAAATACAAAAATTTATTCAATTTTTATTTTTTTATGCGTATTTAGATGTCAATTAAAATAATAATAATAAAAAAAAAAAACAATAATATATATATATATATATTTTATAAAGTATTAAACTTGACCAGCAACAATTTGAACATGTTAGCTCCATTTTCATGCTAAATTAATTCCGATTATGCAAATAAAATCAGGGTTAAAATAACATTGTACAATGATACTTTTTTTTCTCATGCAACAATGAGAAAAACTGTAACTTTCGAAGGCATAAAAATGACTTGAATTTATTAATTTTAGTATTAAAGGTGTATTTTAAATAAACTTTCATGTGTCTGCATTCATTTGCTAAAAGTTGAAGAAAAAGAGAATAAAGAAGAGGACTCAGTGATTCGGTTGCTATTCATTAATATAGGAATGTTGACAATAATTCAACAGTTGTTTGCAGTAAATAACTAAATTTTGTTGGAGTTAAAGTTCACAAGATAATGTAAACCTTTTAACCAAAAGGTTTTTTTTTTAAAATAAACTTTTTTAATTTGTGTTTTCTAAAAATTGTTTTTATTATTTTTGAAATTTTTATAAAATTTCACATCTTTTGGGAGTGTTTGTCACTCAATATCAGGAGTTTCCAAAGTTCAAAAGTGGTTGTTTTGACTAGGAGGACAAAAATCAACCCAGACAGCAAAAAAGGTTTAAGAATGCTTATTTAGAGATGTTTCTCAATTAAGATTTATGACAAATGCATAAGAGTAGTTAAGAGATCACCTTCAAACATTCTACAAACTTACAGAGTGTTTGAAGATGATCACGTTTGCTACAGAAAAAAGTTGATACATTTAAGCCACATACTGAAAAATAACAAGTACAATATCGATGATGATACTACCATTTATTCTTGTCATGATACGAAGCCAACACTCTCTGATTGCTTGGAGGGGGCATTTGAGCTTAAAAAGGATCTCACTTCTGCTACAGTATGGGGCTCACAGTAGCTGGTGAACTTTAATTCAGATAAAACTCAATTTTTTTCAGCCAATCTTTATTGCAATTTAGATCTTCCTATATTTATGAATGGTAATGTACTAAATGAGTCATCTACTCTAAATCTTCTAGGATTAACTCTTACTTCCAATCTTTTTTAGAAACCATATATCAAATCTGTTGCAAAATTAACATCTGCTAAGGTTACATCTTTTATGGAGCTCAACACTTTTTTACTCCGGATACTATTCTCTATCACTAGTAATCTTTATATAAAATGATTACATAAAATGATCTTTATATAAATTGATTATTATTTTTGAAATTTTTATAAATTTTAATTCTTTTGAGACCCGTTTAAGGGTCTTGAGCGACCCCTAAAATTTTTTTTTTATTCAAAAAATTTTTCAATTTAGTGTTAATTTATTACATAGGACACATTTAAGGGGTGGCAGCAGACAATTTCAAAAAAAGTTGTTTTTAGAGGCACTTTGATATATATATATATATATATATATATATATATATATATATATATATATATATATATATATATATATATATATATATATATATATATATATATATATATATATATATTAATGAAGAAAAAACAACTTTTTCTCTAGTACATGTCTATACGGCAATCATCAGCCATTGAATACAAAATCAAAAACAAAAAACCTGTTAAAAATTAAAAAATACTGTGTAGGGATCTTTATGTTGCTATATATATATATATATATATATATATATATATATATATATGTATATATATATATATATATATATATATATATATATATATATATATATATATACACACACACATATATACATATATATATACACACACACACATATACATATATATATATATATATATATATATATATATATATATATATATATATATATATATATATATATATATATATATATATATATATATATACACACATGTATATAACTATATAAACACATGCACACAAAAACAGGTAAAACTACAAAGCAAAAAAAATAAAGTTGACCTTGACATATAGGAAGGGTACCAGACCATGTGCCACTTAACATACATTTTCTAGAAGTGTCACCAATTAACTTATAACCAGAACTGCAAGAATAGTTCACAGTCTTTCCAAATGAAAACACAGTACCATCCAGAATTCCATACTTAGGTAATCCAGGATAACCACAGCTATTGTCTATAATTTTATGATATGACAATAAACTGACATAGAATTTTAAAAAGTATAATTATTTATGTGAATTTCTTTTTACTATTTTTTTTAATGTATTTAAATCATTTGGTATTTTGTACTATTTAGTATTTGAATGCACTTAAATTTACACAAATAGAGTCAAAAGTTTTTATTTTATTTCAAATAATCATTAAAATTATAAACAAAATCTTTTATAACAAAATAACTTCAGTAACTGAGTTAAAAAATATACCACATTAACCATATAAAGTTAAAAAACCTTGACTTTAAATGATATTTAATTTAATAATTTCATTTTAATTGAATAAATAAAATGAAATTATAATTGTTATTTCTCAAAGATTTTTTTTTTTTACTAAACTTTAATAAAAATTGTTTTGACTTGATACAGTTTGTTAATGTTACATCACTAGAAAATAATGCTTTTATTAATATTAAAAACAACTTGTTAACTTAAATCAAGGACAAACACCATTTAAGAAAAAAAAAAAAATTCTTTGGTAATGTATATTAAACATTCAAAATGTTAGATTAGATAAATGTTTACATGAGAAAATAATCAGAAGGTTTTTAAAAATAAAGTGGATTTAATCACTTTAATTTTTAAAAACCAGGTTAATCCACATCATGCTCATAATAAAAAATTTTTTAGACTGCCTTAAACTAAGCTGTCATTATATAACTCATTATAAATGACAAAAATCAGTTATTAGCAGAAATTAAAATTTGCTGAAGCTAAAATAGATAAAACTTTCATACTAAAACCGAAATTCAATTTCAGCTATAAAGCTGCCGAAACTGAAAATATTTTATAAAATTTAGAAAAAACCCGCAGAATTGGTTTTTATCTGAGAAAGTGTTTTTTCTACTATTTTTATATTTATAAAAAGTTATATTTTATGAAAAGTTAATAAGAAGTTGGCCTGAAATATATAATACAGGTTTCAAAGAACGTTCTTTAAAACACTTACCGTACCATTAAAAGAAAACATGAAAACAAAATAAATTAAAATTCTAATAGAAACATAAAAATACTAATCAATTTATTTTAAGAAATAAAACCAAATAGGTATTATTAGCATAAACAAGCCCAAGATAATCAGAAAGCAGTATACCTCCTTAAAAAATTTTTTAATAAACAAAACAATACCCTTAAATAAACTCTAACGCTGTCATAGATACCTCATTCGAAATATGATAACCAATCAAAAGTGTAGGAAAATGAGTAACCCGCGAAAGCCAAAATCATAACAATAATAGAATAATATATGATAGCAAAAAAGAACGTTGCACAAAAACTTTAAAAATGTAAGCGACATATGTGTAAACATTAAATGAAGGATATAAAAATATTCTCTGAATAATAATAAAGATAAAAATTGTGCATGTGAAAATTAAAACAAAGCTGAGTAATGAATGCAAGATAATATAACATAAAAGTTTCTGTAAACAGTAATAATATGAAAATCAGGAGATAAGTAAAATATTAATAAATATAGCAATAAAACTAAATAAATATTGTAATAAAACCAGATAATTTTAAGCCAAATGAGTGGTTAAAAAATTAGTTGTGAGTATTATAACAATGATATAAATCGTGATATAAAAACGATGTAGAAAGCGGGAAAAAAATTGTTAAAAAGTGAAGTTTTCTCTACGGTCAGAACTAAAAGAAACTTTGAAACCATATCTAAATCGAAATTTCCGAAAAATAAAGTTTTCTCTACGGTCCGAATTAAAAGTAACTTTGAGACCATATCTAAATCGAAATTTCCGAAAAATAAAGTTTTCTCTACGGTCCGAATTAAATGTAACTTTGAGACCATAACAAAATAACAAGGAAAAACATACTTCATAAAAACAAGTCGAATGCTGCTAGTTTATAAGAATCGCTCTTATGCTTATATGTATATGCATATGAATCCTTTAATGAAAAATTCAATCACACATGATAAACACATATAGATAACATACAAATCTGTGCCTACATTTCAACAACATATCTATTAAAAGAAAATATTATCTAAATAAGGATGAGTTCAAACAAAGATAGTTTATCTATGAAAGAACAAAAAGCATGCAAAAGATGTAAACAGGCTATATGTGCATAAGGGTGTATAGGTGTAATGTGTAAGTCTGTGCTGTTTATGTCGTTCAGTAGAGTCTTGTATTGTTAGTAACCAGCGTAAAAGATTTGTCTCTGAACTAAACCAAGCCAGCCCAGCCATACTCCAGAAAACCATGATGGATTAAACACCTATGCATGGATTTATAACTGACTTATGGCTAAAAAGCTAGCCCAGGCATCTTCCACAGACAAAAATCCTCTTTCGCGGTGACAGTAATTGCGTAAAACAAGTGATACTGAATCGTTGTAACCCTTTAAAGAACGAAGGAAAATAATTTTTAATCAAATTATTTTGATTTAATTATTACCATATTTTGTTTGAAATAAAATTTTGAAATATCTGAAGTAATCTGAAGTAATTTGCTGAAACAAAAATGATTGGACGCAAAAATGATTAAACTATGCAAAGTTCAAGTTATTTGAGGTTTAACTTAGATGGAGAACTCTATTAGTAACTATTTATACAATTTCACAGGACCAAAGGAAACAGTTTGAGATAACAAAAATTTGAGTTTGAGATTAGAGTCAGTGGGTGATTTACAAACTTACTCTGTTTTAAACAGAGTAAGTTTGTAAAACAAGGAAGTTAAAAAAATGATAATTAAAAACAGTTTAAGAAATAAGAAAGTTTAAAAAGTAAGCAAATTTAAATTAAAAGAAAAGTTTAAAAAAATGACAAAAATTTTAAAAATTATACAAGCACTACAAAAAATACTGAATTAATACTGGGTGTTAAAATACTGATTGCCTTAAATATTAATAGAAATGCAACCTAAAAATATTGAAAAAATAAAAGACTGTAACTACAACAGGTTATATTGTAATTATCTTTGCACTTTATAGTTAAAAATTAACAATAATAAAATTTATTAATAGGAAATTATATAAATTCTACTTTCAAAAATTCATTCAAAATACTTAAAGAAAAAAACCTACATAAACATTTAGGAGATATTCCACTCCACTCTCCACTGAGCAGACAAGTTCTTTGAAAGGGACCAGATAATCCAAACCCGTCATTACATTTATATGTTATCACATCATCGATTTTAAAAGAACTACCAGTAAAAGTTCCATTATCAAGAGCCTCAGGCTTACCACAGCTCACAGCTAAAAATTAAAAGAATGATATATAATGAACAGCTAATAAAAATCACTACCACACATACACACACACGCATGCGCACACTTAATATATGCAAACATACTAGATATATAAGTATATATATATATATATATATATATATATATATATATATATATATATATATATATATATATATATATATATATATATACTTATATATCTAGTATGTTATATCTAGTATATATATATATATATATATATATATATATATATATATATATATGTATATATATATATATATATATATATATATATATATATATATATATATATATATATGTATATACATTTTTTTTTGTTTTACAATACAGCAACTATTTTTAACTACGCTAGTTCATGTTATTGCTAACAATGCAAAAGAAGTTTGAAAAAATTTATCAAACATTTTAACCCATAATAATCGAAAGAGTTAATTTAGTTCAAATATACAATGTTATAATACCATAATAATATAATATTTATGTACAAAATTTAACTCAACTCAGCATTTGATTCGATTTCCATAATGAACAGAAAGTATGCATAGAAACAAAAGTAATAAAAATTACTTACGTACACATTGAGCATCATTATGAGACCATTTTCCATCTACCTGACAAATTCTGTAGTTTAAATTTTTATTACTTAGCATAAAACCTTTTTCACATTTTATCATAACTGTAGCTCCTTGATTTAAAGATGAACCAAGTATAACACCATTTTCAGGTTTGGTTAATGGAGGACAATTATACGCTTAAATATAAACAATTATGTGTATTTAAAAAATTAATAAGCAAATTAAAATCAAATTTATAAGCTAACAAAAAAAACAACATAAAACTGAGTTTAAAATACTAATTATCTAAAAATTCATCAAAACTTACGAACACATCTTGGCTGATCACCACTCCAGGAACCATTATACCTACAAGTTCTTGTTTCTGATCCAAACAGCAGAAATCCTTTTAAGCAAAAAAATCTGTATTCAGCATTTAAACCAGCTCCTACCAAAGTTGCCTGCCCATTGTAAGGACTAGGTAAAGTCCCACATGTTATTTCTAAAAAATAAAAACTTATATCATTCCTACTTTGTTACTATTGTATCAAACTCTGAAGTTATGACATCATTTTCTGCTATTATCACTCTTCTCTCCTATTGCAAACTGATATCTTTGCATCATAAAATATTCATAAAAACTGTAACTACTTGCTTTTGCATCTTGGAAGTATGCCTGACCATTTTCCATCTGCACCGCATACTGTCTGACTTGAACCGTCTAACCTATACTTGTCTTCACAAGTAAAAGTTGCTTTTAACCCAAAATCTCCAGTACTATGAGATACATAACCATTTGTTGGTGCATTTAATTGTGGGCATAAAATTTCTAGGAAAATTATTTCAAAATTTAACCATGGAAAAAACAATGGAAAAACAAGTTGTAAAAAATAAATAAAAATCAGAAGCAAATAAATCCTTAAGTAGCAGGTACTCTCAAGTAGCAGGTACTCTCAAGTAGCAGGTACTCTCAGGTAGCAGGCACTCTCAGGTAGCAGGCACTCTCAGGTAGCAGGTATTCTCAGGTAGCAGGTACTCTTAGGCAGCTATAAAAGTTAAAACTTACTTTGACAACTTTTTCCATTACCAGCCAAAACAAAACCAGGTTTACATTGACACTTATATGATCCCTGAGTGTTAACACATAGCTGTGAACAATCATGTGTGCCAACACACTCATCAATATCTAAAATGTATTTAAAAAGTATATATTTCTTAAAAAATAAAAAATAAAAATTGATGTGACATCAATTTAAAATCAATCAACCTTGACATGATCGAAGATTGCTACTGATCTTGAATCCTGCTCTGCATTGACATGAATAACTCCCATATGTATTAAAACACTTATCTTGACAATTACCATTGTTAGTTAAACATTCATTGATATCTAAGATAATTTTTTTGTAATTTTTAACAAAACATAAAAAAAGGAAACCTTACTCCCACATTCTGGGTATGGTTCACTCTAATGTATTACGTTATACCTACGCAAGTACTTCCTTGCATCTCAAACCCTTCATTACATTGACATAAATATGAGCCAATAGTGTTCAAGCACTTATGCTGGCAGTTTCCATTTGAATATAAGCATTCATCCAAATCTATCAAACAACAAAATAAAAAAATATATTATTATTATTTTTATTATTATTATATTGCAACTATTATTATTATATAAAATAACAATAGCAATATAATTTAATAATATAATAGTATATTCTCATGCATTTACTATAAAATTAGTTTTTTGTTTTATTTTACAAAATGCTTAAGGAACAACTTACCTATACACTCAGGAATTTCTTTGTTATACTTTCCTTTAACACAATGCAATGAGCTTGATCCGATTAGTTTAAAACCTGGTCTACAGCTAATTGTAACAAGACCATTAGTTTGAGAAACAATGCCATTAACAAATGGTTGTAAAGAAGTACATGGCAACTCTAAATTAAAAATAAAAACAATAAGTCTAACCAAATTGCTTTATATTTTTCTAATATAAAATTTTTAACTTGAAGACATATATAATCTTTATGATTGATTTTTTGATTATATATATATATATATATATATATATATATATATATATATATATATATATATATATATATATATATATATATACATTAGAGTTCATCATTGAGGAAAATACCCAATTGAAGTAAATACCCAAAGTAATTAAAATATGTTACCCAAAAATTTTCAAATGAATTTTATGTCCTCTCATCAGCAAAGTTGTTGAAAAATTTGTCATAAAAAATATAAAAAATGAAAAACATTTTATGATTTTTTTTTCTTTGTCAATTATTACATAAATTTTTATTTTAAAAACGTATGTCATCAGGGTTTTTTTTTCTTATTTTTTGTTAAAACAATATTTATCAGAGGACGAAAATATAAGTATTCTGTTATGCAAGATAAAAATAGATTATAATTTTGCATACTTAAATAAAATTTTACCATTTTAAATAACCTACCATAGATACCTAGCTATACCTACCTACTATAGCCACCTTGATAAGAGAAATAAGGTATAAAGCCATTCAGGCCCTTCCAAACTCTCCTACCTCTGCATAAATACTTTTTTTAAATTTTTTTTTTGAATAAACCAAAATAACTTATAACATCAACAACAATGCATTTTTTGTTATTATTTATTTTTCTAATTTTGGGAATAATATGAATGTATTTATTTGTTGGTTTTAATTACTAAAAAGATTGAATATATAAATGATAATAATACTTTTTAAATTTGACTTGAATTTTAATATTTACTGAAAATAAAAATGTTTAACTTGCTGATTTAAAAATGTTAATCTTGCTGATTTAAAAATGTTAAACTCGCTGATTTAATAATTTCACTATTTAAACCAACTACAGGTTTACACAATAACTATTAATAATAGAGACAACAATATTTATTAATAATAGATAATGACCATTTTCACAATTCTTTCCATAAAAACCATCATTGCATCTGCAGATATATCCTTGTAGAGTATCAATACATAGACCATTTCCATTGCACTTGTTAAACAAACAATCATTGACTAAAAAATTATTAATTTTAATCATTTACAATACAATCTTACAAAATTAAAATATAAAAAGTAGTAAAAATCACAATAAAATTACAAAACAAAATATATTAAAAATCAAATTACCACCGGTGTAAGGGCATTCAAATCGTACTTGCATCTGAAAAGGACAAACAACATTATTATTTACATCAAATTTTTTTTGATCAGCATTAGAGCAAAAAAACCCTTTAGTTGTGCATGTTGCTCCAAACAAGTTAAGCTCTTTTATCCCCATTTTGTCCAAGGTAAGACACTGAGCACTGATGACTTGACCAGGACAAGGTATTACTTGACTTGTACTCCAAGGATGAAACTTTGATTGGCTATCTGAAAACAAAAAGTAATATACAAGTAAAACTGAAATTCAAAAATAAAAAATTAAAAGATTCAAAATAAATTTAAATAACTTTAAAAGTTTTAAGTTTTATACATTTATATTTATATAAAATATAATGTTAAACCTAAATTCTAAACTAGATTTCATATCTATCTGTTTCTTTTTGAGATATATATAAAACAATTGATTTAAAATGTCTTTTAATTTAAAACTTTAGCTATGAATTGGTGTTTTAGTTACATTTGATACAACCCTAGGAATTAGAATCTGCATTTGGTAATGCCAAATCAACTGTCCATCTAAAAGTGTTTGAGGTCAGTAAAAAATTGCTGAAAATATTTTATGGTAAAACCTTAGTGACAAACTTTTTATTGCCGACCTCATTTTTCCAATTTTCAAGGGCTGCCTTATGTCATAAATTTGTCTATAATCTGTTTAAACTCAGGTTTACTCAGAATTTGCAGAAAAAATTGAAAAAGATGACATTTAGTTGAAAAGAATTCACTCTTACAAAAAACATGCGATTTAAAAATGCAAATATTTGATTTTTTTTATAAGTTAGTTTCTTGCTATTTTTAAATAATAATTAAAGTGTTAAAATAAACCTGTTATTCAAATTTTATCAATTTATGTCTTTAATGTATGTGCCTGGCATATTTTAGATATGGTCACCATATAATTATTCCATATTCAGTTTTAACATTAAATCCAGATTTACCAGTTATAAAATTAATACTGTAAACATTTTTAATGTTTACCAACATTAAAAAGCAACTTAAATATAAATAATCATCATTTTAATAAAAATACTAATATTATTAGCCATATAAATAGCATTTGAAAAATTATTGACTTGAAAAAAGTCTAGTAACTAAAATATTTTTGAACTTTCCCATATTTGACTTTTTACTTGTCAACAGTAATAACTAAATGGTTTAACAATGTATTAGATAAAAACAGTGAGACAACTTTGCTCTTAATATAGCAACAAGGTTTTGCTTTTAGCATTTCAACAGTCCTTCAACAGCATACTGATCTTACCCATTAACCCTGTTTTAACTAGTATACAGAGATATTTAGAATTTTTTTGTTCCAGTGTTAATGTAAAATACCACAACAACTAAAAGAAAAGCATAATGCAAAAGGATTTAATTATTTTTCTTTATCTATACCTATTTCAAATAAATAGGTTTCTTCGGAATAAACATTTCTAAGCCCCTCATAACCAAGTCTCAAGAGTGCAAACTACTTTTAAAAATTTAATAATAAATGAAAAACACATACTGGTGCAAAAACCAACCACTTTTTTTACATCAATAGATGGATTATTAAAATCTGCCCAAGCAACAATATTTCCAAACAACATATCACATCTGTAAGAAGACATCCCCAAAATTTCATTTTCTGTCATTACATAATTCCACATATTTAGCTGGCTAAGATGACCATCAAACGCTTCAGAAGCACTGAAATTTCTGCCAACTTCATCTTGCTCTTGTCCTATTATAAAAACACCACCCGCTGGAATAGCCTGAAAATATAAAATAATCATAAACTAAGCTAAAGTTGCCAAACAAAAAAATTAAGCAAAGAATTTATCATACTAACCTTTCCTTTCTGGAAGTTAATGTCTTCAGCAATTTTAATTCCGTCTTTAAATGTTTGATACTTCCCACTTTTACTAGACCATACTATTGCAACATGATGCCAAGAGCCATCGGCAACTGAAATATTTGTTGGTGCTTCCTCTCCCATTATATTTAGCATAACATGATTCATATTACCCAAGACTAAGGCATTATCTACAAAACTGTCTAAAAATATATTATTACACCTGTAAATAAAACTAAAATTTTAAAGTATGCAAATACTTTTTAGTTAACTATTTAAACATTATTTTAATTAAATTGGAAAAATTTGATGCATACCACTGTCACCAATTGCATAGGACAAAACTGTGCCTGATTCTATCTCCGTTGGTGATGTTTTTAGCCAAAATGCAACTGTGAACTCATCAATTAATTCATTAATAGTAGATTTAGCATAACCTTGTACTGTTCTATCAAAAACAAGGTCGAAGTTGGATACTGCGTTTCCTTAAAATTTATTTTCTCAAAAATGTTAAACAAAAGCATAAAAAGAAGAATTATAACTAATAATCTTAATAAAAATAATACCTAATAATTATGAAAATAACAAATAAAAATATTTTAAAAAAATAATAAAAATTTGAATAACAAACAAAGCTTATCTCTACCCAATTGCTAGAATTACCACTTTATTATTATAATCAGAACCCTTTTGGTTAGAATCATCCCCCAATCGATATAAGTATTCACCTAATTGCTTTCATTTTCTATTCTATTTATATTTATTAGTTGGATGTGCAAATTCCTCTACTATTATCTTCAAAACAACTTTCCTTACAAAAGCTTTTTAAATACTGTGTATAATTCAACATTTTCCGCAATAAAAAACATGTTTAATTTTGAAATATTACTTTTGAGGTTCTTTTATTTATTAAGAAATAATAAAAAAACTAGTAAGACCATCTTATTTAATGTATTTTAACTCACTCTACAACTTGTTTTTATAAAGTATTATCTTTATTGCTGTTAATATTAACTACCTTGTTTTACTAATAATGACACTAAATGGCATATCCTTCCATAAATAAGTTCCCCACCTATAAAAATTCAAATTTTTGATTCTACTGTTGTTGTTTTTCAATATATACTTATTTTCACTGTAACAGAGTATAAATAGTTATAACCTTTATCACATAAAAACCTAATAAAAACGAACCAATAGAAGACCAGAAAGTTATTCATAACTTTCTGGTCTTCTATTGGTTTTCATAGTTTTTCCAACATAAAAAATTATATCAGATTGCTAAATAGTCTTCTCAAACAACTTTAAAAAAATTTTTAGAAATTTATTTTTTGGATAAAGACAAATAGCATAGGTTTTTAGGCATTTTGAGGAATATACACTTTTAATATGGCTTTTAGTACAGTTTGATAATAATATTATACATTTAATTCATCGTTATGCTTATAATGATTTTGAAAATTAAAGGAAACTATTTAATACTTTGGAATGCTTTTAATAAAAGTAAAATAGTTTGTTTCTTTTACATTGTCAAACTTTCCCAACATCTGTTTCTTTTACATTGGTCAAACTCTCCAAACAATGTAGTTCAATTGTTTATAAAGAACTTGCCAATTTATTGCTCAAATAAAATTCTTCTGCTTCCTCACTAATGACCACTTCTTTTCCTCATCCCTGCAGAAATGTAGACCCTTTTAAGTAACTCCTGTATAAATTTCAGAAGTTGTTTTTTGATAAAATAAAAAATAACTTCTAATAATAAAAATCAAAAAAAAAAAAAAATTATTAAGTTTTGTTTTAATTCGTCAGTGACACTTTTCTTAGTTACAATTCAGAACACATTACTCAGCTAAGGTAATTTTTAGTAAAGCTTAACTGTTTAGTAAAACAATTCATTAGTAACTCTAAACTCAGATCTTTATTAATTGTTAACCAAATTAGAATTTATTTTTAAGATTTTTTAAAACAATATAATGACAATAAGAAAATATGATGTCGATAATAAAAAAAAGTCAATAATATAATAATATCAATAGTATAATACTTGTCTCGCAAGTTGGTCCAGAAAATGTTGAAGGGCATTGACATTTATAACCATTTACTTGGTCAATGCATGAGCCACCATTTCGACAAGGAGAAGAAAAGCAATCATTCACATTAATTTCACATCTAAAATAAAAAAAAACAAAAAAGAAAAACATTTGCTCTTTAACTTTATTAAAATAAAAATTATTAAATAATACCTTTACTAAAGTGAAAACTATAAAATAATACCTTTCTCCACTATATCCCTTGACACAAGAGCATGAAAACCTATTAACTCCATCAATACAAACACCTTTATTTAAACATGCATTGTTGTAACAATCATCAACATTATCTTGACATAAAGCCCCTGTAAAACCAGACTTGCATAAGCATTGATAGCCTCGATGAGAATCTAAGCAAGTACCTTCATTTTTGCATGGAGAAGAGGCACATTCCTAAAATAAATGTCTCAAAAATGTATAATTACAAATAATAAAAATATATAAACAAAAACATTAATAACTTAAGTAAAGTACAAAGCATAATAGTGACATTACAAAAATAGTATGTATAAAATTAGTAAATAGCGTGTAATTAATTATTGTGTAAATAATTAGCGTGTAATTAATTATTGTGTAAATTAAACACGTTAAAATTGTCAAATTCCTTTAAGTTTGTAAGAAAAAATAAAATTTTTAAATTAGATAATTTTCTTGATTTTTCAAAATTATTTTATTCTTTCAAAATTATTTTATTCAAAATTAGTTTTTTACTTGTTTAATTGGCTCTTATTTTGATATTTAACAGATTTGCCAGTATATTTAAATGACTATTACTAAAACTATATTGATATTATTTACTTTCTTGATTTAATGAAAATATTTATGCAAACTTTTTATTAAATTGGAGATGTACAAAGTTTTTTTTACTACCTTATTTTATTTTAACTTGTAAAACCCACATAAGGGCTCTATGAAAAATTGTAGTGACTTTAGTCATCCTTTCTTTGAGCCCCTGCCTGTTATTTATATTTACTAGTTATAAATGCTGATCCTCATCGAAACGCCAGTAATAATAGATGCGACTCTGAGGAGATGTTTATTACTTATCACTACACTAATTATGTTTACACATTAGCATTAATGTTTTTTTTCCATTATTAGTCCTTTCATTGTCGTTAGCATTTTTTATTTGTTGAATAGTTTTTTGTTTTACAAATTTTTGACTGGTTATGTATTTCTTGTATATTTTAGTTCATATTGGTAATTATAAAACAATTTTTTTTTTATTTTTAATTTTTATTTATGTATGTATGTATATATATATATATATATATATATATATATATATATATATATATATATATATATATATATATATATATATATATATATATATATGTATATATGTATGTGTATATGTATATATATATATATATGTATGTATGTGTATGTATGTGTGTGTGTATGTGTATATATATATATATGTGTATGTGTGTGTGTGTATATATATATATATATATATATATATATATATATATATATATATATATATATATATATATATATACATATGTGTGTGTGTATATATATATATATATATTTATATTTTATTATTATTTGTTATTATTTGTTTTTAATTTTTTTTTTAATTTTTTATATTATTATTATGGTTGAGTACTGTTTTGGTTGTATAGCTTGTCTTATTTATTTTTAAATATTCCCCCATTAATCTATATTTTTGTCTTGACAACTGTCAAAATATGCTTTGTCTAATAAATAATTCTCCTTTATTCTAATGTACTTCATTTCTTCCTTCAGGCGTTCACTGCTCGTGTGTGACCATTCGGCGAATTTTATATGCCAAAGTTTTTAAATAATATTGGGCCTAGCCCGTAAGGGTTAGTGTTACGGTCATCGAGCACGACTATTTTCCTAATCGCAATTACTGTCTCCGCGAAAGAGGATTTTTGTCTGTGGAAGATGCCTGGGCTAGCTTTTTAGTCATAAGTCAGTTATAAATCCATGCATAGGTGTTTAATCCATCATGGTTTTCTGGAGTATGGCTGGACTTGCTTGGTTTAGTTCAGAGACAAATCTTTTACGCTGGTTACTAACAATACAAGACTCTACTGAACGACATAAACAGCACAGACTTACACATTACACCTATACACCCTTATGCACATACAGCCTGTTTACATCTTTTGCATGCTTTTTGTTCTTTCATAGATAAACTATCTTTGTTTGAACTCATTTTTTATATGTAAAAATAGCATGTATAAAAATACCACTAATAAATAATATTAACATCATATATATAATTAACAACATATATATTTTAGGCTAAATATGAAAATGTAAATTAAAAAAAAACCCTAAAGTTTCTTTAATGGCTGATAGGTTGAATCTATTCAACAGAAAGATCTGAGATCATTTTAGCTGTAGCTGAAGAATTAGATCACAATTTGTATGAAATATCTCAAAAAGCACCGCAAGCAGATCAGGTAAAATTCGACAGCAAATTTCTGATGACATGAAAAAAAACATTCATTTCAACCCATGTACTCTTTCATTCACTGGGATTCAAAGCTGGTATATGAGGTAGATGGTAAAATAGAACACTTGGCTATTGTAGTAACAGGAAACCAAGTACACCTGAAGGAAAATTGTTGTGTGTGTCCAGGATTCCCTATTCAACTGGAAAAAGTCAGCCAATAGCAACCATATGCTGTAAAGACCTGGAAACTATAAAAAAAAACACTTGTAGCAATGATTTTTGACACAACTCCATCAAATTCAGGATGGATAAATGGTTCTGCAAAGTTAATCAAAGAACACTTCAATAAAAAATTACTTTGGTGTGCCTGCAGACACCATATCTTAGTCAGATACCACTTTTAGAAAAATTAAAATTGAGAAATCAGTATTAAAGATCAAACAAGCAGAAGTGAAAATATTTTTGTCTGATTTACTTAACTGGAAGTCTCAAAAAATATTAGGAGATGATTGTCAAGAATTTTATCAACTTGCTTTGTAATTACTGTATGCAAAACAAATAAATGTACAGTGGTGCAAACCTGGGGCTTTCCATCATGCTAGATGGATGTGTACAATTTTGTATTCATCAAAAATATTTGCTTTTGCTGAATTAGCAGACCTGGCAGAGTATAAAGAAAGTTAAGTAGAGAAATTCAAAATCACGGTTTTATAAATTTATTTTATGTGAAAATGTGGCTTACATGTACAATCACAATTGATGCATCATTTAATGACTTAGAATTCTACAAAATGCTTTATAAAAAAATTGACAATGATGTTACTATTGTTGCCCTCGAAACATTTAATCAACATCTTTGTTATTCAACCAAAAAAATGTCTCCTCTCATTATTTTCTGATAAAAAGTGTCTGATTGTGATAAAGCTAAAATTGCTAAAATAATTCTTAAAAATATAAAAGAAAACTAGGAACATGAATTAGGCTTTTCACAATTTCCTTGTTGAAAACCAAGTACTTGTTTAACTGATTAAGTCGGACCAAAATCAAGCAACATTCTAAATTTATTTGAATATTTAAACAAAAATGATGGTTGGTTAGCCTAATACACAAATTTTTGGAAAGCTAACACAGATTTTCAACACATGCTTGAGCATATTAAATCATTGAAATCTGTAAATGATACAGCAGAACATGCTCCGGAGAACACTTCTGCAAGACTATGCAAAATCCATAACCAAAAATGAAGAGCAGAAAAAATTTTACGTGCTGTAAAATACCAACAATAAGTTCTTCCATAGATAATTAATTAAACAAATTTTCAAAAACTAAATTTTTGAAAATTTAAACAATGCTTTAATTTATATTACTAATACTTTTAAAATATTTTTACTTTGTTGTCATAATTTTAAAAAATTAATTTTGAATTTCTTTCTAAATAGTTCCAGTTTAGTACCAGTAAGCGTAAATATTTTTATATTATAACAATTTATTTGCTTGTTTGTCATAAAAATAAATTTTAATGATAAATCTTTATTGTTATAATTAAAAAGTATAGTTCTGAAAATTCATTATTTTTTAGAGCAGAGAAATATCATGATTAGGGGTGTGTATGTGTGTGTGGGGAGAAAGGAAGATGTGGGGTGGGGGGAGGAGGGGAGATGTGGGGTGTGGGGGAGGAAGGGGAGGGTTGGGAATAGAGGGGTGGGAATAGGGAGAGGGGGATGGGGTTAGGGGTATCATAATGATGGGGACAGGTGTCTTGTTTGGTGAATTTCTTTTGAATAAATTTTTGGTTTTAGCTTAAACAACTATATATAAAACTATATATAAAAATTTAAGATATGAACTTAGTTATATATATATATATATATATATATATATATATATATATATATATATATATATATATATATATATATATATATATATATATATATATATATATATATATATATATATATATATATATATATATATATATATACAATATTTTGATTTAATGTCTTTTTTAAAACTAAAATAACATACATCAATAATTTCTTCACAGTACTTTCCAGTTAATCCAGGTGCACAACTGCACTCTATGCCGTCTGGGATCTCATAACAAGTACCACCATTTGAGCACATCTTTGTGTCGCACATTGGTTTTTTCTCAGAACAAAATTTTCCTTTATAATTTTCTTGACAAATGCAAGTAAAATTATTGATCTACAAAATAACGTAAGTTAAAATTTATTTAAATTATTTGTTTAATTCTGAGATTATTATACTATGTAACATTCACTTCAGTCTAAAATAAAAATAAAATAAAATCCTCAGTAAAGAAATGTATTGCAGAAGAAATTCGCTTTTAAATTATTAAAATATATTATATTGATGCATTGATAAATATGATAACTGAAAGCAGATTTCAGAAAACACAAATTTCACTTCTAAACTGTTACAAATTCTTGTAATATAAAGTTCAGCAGAAAAAAAATGTCTAAACATTTTGCAGCTATTAAAATAAGTTAGCTAATTTTAAATAGGTATTTTCAATTTCAAACATTGCCAATATCTTTTTTGACAAAAATTTTGACATGTAACTAGTTGAACTAGAACAGCAGTTGTAATTTTTTAATAACAATTACAAACATTTTCAATACTCAAACTAACTAAGTTCTATTACAGCTGCTCAGTTAAATCCAGTGACACAAGCAGTACTTTTAATACAGCAGGATTCAAAGCATTATTCTTTTAAACCAACTTTTTCAAAAAGAATTTGAAAAGAATTTAAAAAAACACATGTTATTATTTCTCTTCAACTTGATTGTTGCTTTAATCATCACATAGCAGAGTCATTATCACCCTGCTAATGATAAGATGTAATCAAATACAAACTAGGGTAGAGCACTAAAACTCTACCAGAGTTTCTGAAGATTTCTGAACTCAGGTAGCTCTCAAAGATGCTGGTTTTATAAAAAACTATAAAAAATCATAGAACTAGTATTGTCTGTAATGTGTAGATGGTGTTACTGTTGGTGCTTTTGGTGTGCCAAAAAAATGTGTAAAAAACTTTTTCTTTTATTCACTTTCAAAATTTTCTTGCTGACACCTCAGATAAACAAGTCATTGTTACACATCCATCAGTCAACCCATTTTTACAACTTATGTTTATATATATATATATATATATATATATATATATATATATATATATATATATATATATATATATATATATATATATATATATATATATATATATATATATATATATATATATATATATATATATATATATATATAGATAACGTAGAGTTAGGGTCAGGGTTAGGACTAGGTAAATGAAAGTTAATTAATATAAAAAAAGAAGTTATTTGCATTCAATTTCTTCTCGAAGTTATAAAATGAATATTCTGCTTATAGTTTCATCACAAAACCTCCTTTAAAGCAGACTTAAGTATGCCGAATAAACAATAAATGTGGTTGGGCTGCAATTAATTCAGGAAGATTTCCACTAGTAAAAGATCTTAGAATAATTAACAAACGGATCGATAGTGTCATTGTAACTGGAAACGAGAAGGAATAATGCTCAATTTTTACAAAAGATGAAGAAGAACTGTTAATCTGTTATATGAGAAACAAGAATAGGTAGTATGTACATATAATTGGAAAATGACATTTTTTTGATTAACTGTTATAATCTGTAGTAAAATCCTGGTTTGAACAAGGATAATGTTGAATGTTTTGGGAGTAAGAAAGGAAGGCTGTACAAACCTCTATCACCAAATACTCAACAAGCACTCCAAACAATGAAGCTTAGCAAGTCTTTTTGGAAGCGTTGGGATGCAAAGTACCAAAAGTACATTACCAAAAAGAGACAAAGAACTGTATCTATAAATTGTGCCCTTAACTGCACAAAAGAAATGGTAACCACCTCAACGAATTAGCAGAAGAACTTATAGAATGTTATATTTTCAATGATGCAAATCAATTAAAAACAGGTGTATGACAGGGAGAAAAAAAAAGGAGAAAGCTAATAAAAAAAGGAAATCCAAGCTACAACAACAAATTGAAGCATTCTATAAATGTAAGGAAGAATGTACATGTGGAAAGAATGTTTGTGCAACAATTAAGCTTCGAGAGTGTTGCCATGAGAATGCTTGTGTTGCCATGAGAATGCTTGCGTTGCCATGAGAATGCTTGTGTTGCCATAATGTTTTTAAATCTACATGTAGTAAAGCATTATGTCGAGGTGAAACAGGCTTAAAACCAAATATGATCAAACCATTTTGAGAAATAGAACCCAAAAAATGCCTTCAGTTTGAGTCTGATGGAGATAACGTTGGCGACTTCATTCCTGTAACTGATTTTATCCAGAATACAAATAGCATTTTCTATTTGCTGATTTTTGATTGAAGTTTACCAGGATCTTATTTTTATATTTTTTGTTCATAGTATATTTTTTTAAGTTTGTTAACATTTAAAAAAAAAATTATTAAAAGTAAATTGAGTTCTATGTTGGTTTATTTCTAATCTGACATTCTGAGGTTCTTTTACCTGTAATAGCATTATTTTTGAAACACTTTTTTTAAATTTTTTATTTAAATTTTTTTTCCAAAAAATCAAAAATAGTATACAGAATTTTGAACAAACAGCTGCTTTTTGTGCCAGTGTTCTTTTAGGTGTAATGAATACTAATGTTTTTATTGATAATTTTACATGGTTGTGATAAATTGAATTGTTTTGTAAAGTCACGCAAGTGAAGTATTTTGTTATGTTTTCCATTTGAAAATCATTTACAATAAAGCTTTTATTTTCATTTGGATGCAAATTCAAAAGTGTATACACCTTTTTTTATTTTTAAATATAACTAATTAAAAATATTGTTATTAATGCATATAGAGTCCAACTTGTAACTAAACAGGATTGATTGCAAGTATACTAAATTATTCCTTTATATTTTTATAGTTAATAAAACTTTGTTCAGATTTTTAGTTAACACATTTTAGCTTACTTACTGAGTCCATTCTCAATTACTCTTACTGAGTCTACTACTTTATGACTTATCACAACTGACCTTTCATAGGAACTATCCAATCCATATAAAATATGCTAAAATATGCTTAAAAGATTATCGCAACTGACCTTTCATAGGAACTATATATCCAATCCATATAAAATATGCTAAAATATGCTTAAAAGATTATCGCAACTGACCTTTCATAGGAACTATATATCCAATCCATATAAAATATGCTAAAATATGCTTAAAAGATTATCGCAACTGACCTTTCATAGGAACTATATATCCAATCCATATAAAATATGCTAAAATATGCTTAAAAGATTATACAGTACTGCACCTGGACTGGGGGAGTGTGATCCTCTTTTAGAGGAGAAGAAAACTAAAGAGTTTTTTTTTATTTCTTTGTTTTTAATGAGTTGAATGGTTTATAAAAGGTTATTCATTAAAAGTATTATGATTAGGAAATTTTTTAATAATTTTAATTATTTGATCTTCTAAAGAAGAAGAGTAAACTAATGGAAAGTTATTTGGCTCATGACCAGAATATAAGGGTTCGATTCCTTTCTCTTTATTTTTTAATTAAATATTTAAATTATAAAAATAAAATAATCAATAAGAATAATATTAATTAATATTATTATAATCTTTTCATGAATGATTTAACTTAAAATGAACTGAAACATCATGGTAATTATAAAATAATATTATGAAAGAAAAGGCAATTAAAATCTTTTTCTTTGACTTTACAAAATTAAATAATTGATATCAAGCATAATAAATGTAAAGATTATTTCCAATATTAATCAACTCTATAAACATTTAGAAATAAGTTTATTATTTAGACAAAAAGTAAATAAGCTTAGAATCAGCTATATTTAAAAAATTAAGTAAAAATGTACTTTAGAAAAATTATAACTTAACAATATAGTTAATTATTATCATTTTTACGGAAAATAGTAGTGAAATTTCTTTTAACATGTTATGAAAATTTTAAAAGAGTAATAATTATTAATAAAATTAAATTTATCCTATTTTTTTCTTAATTTAATAAATTGATTAGGGTAATACAATCTCTAAATTTATAAAGAATATATTGAAATATTTTTTAAGAAAATTTTAATTTATATTTTGTAAAAATCAAAATCAAGTTGGGATAAATAATAAATTAATTTTTTCTTAAGGAACTCGGCAAAATAAAGTATTGACTGTTTACCAAAAACATAGCCCTCTAGAGTATTGAAGATAAAACCTGCCCAATGATATAAAAATAATTTTAAATCTAATTTAAATAATATTAAATGGATGCAGTAACTCTGACTGTAATAAAGTAGCATAATTAGTTGTCATTTAATTGATGGAGAGAATGAATGGTTACACGAATTTTTCACTGTCTTAAAAAAAAAAATTTAAAATTGAAATAATAGTTAAGATGCTATTTAAGATTGTAAGACGAAGAGACCCTATAGAGCTTTACTATAAACCTTTTTTTTTTAAATAATAAAAAATTATTAAAACTAAAAAGTTTGGTAGTTTAGTTGGGGTGAATGTTTTTAAAAATAACAAAAATAAGCAATATAATAAATTTATTTATTGTATAGTTAAACAATTTAACAATTAGTATAGTAGGCTGATAATGATCTTGTTTTACCAGTTAATAAAAAAATTAAATTAATTGTTTCAAGTGCTGATGTTGTTCATTGTTGAATGGTTCCTTCTTTAGGTGTAAAAATAGATGCAATTCCAAGTCACTTAAACCAATTAAATTTTATTATTAATAGACCTGGCAAGTTTTTTGGTCAATGCTCAGAATTATGTGATCTTAATCACTCCTTTATGTCTATTTCTATTTGTTCTGTTTCTCAAGAAAAATTTATAAACTGATCAATTAATAAAACTTAGAATATCTCAATTAGATTTATCTTTATATTTTTATCATTATCTTGTTTTGTTGTTACTTTTTTTTTTATTAATTAACTTAATAAGTTTGAGATTTTATAATTTTTTCTTGATTTTAAATATATGAAATAATTTTCTTTCAAAAAATTTAGAATCAAATAATAATAATACTCTTAATAAATTTTCTATATTACATAATATATTGAAACTATAATGTCTTCTATATTATATAATATATTGAAATTATAATGTCTTCTATATTATATAATATATTGAAACTATAATGTCTTATTTATTACAT